TTCGCTCTAACCATTTAGGCTATCCACGGAAAGGTGTGTGAGTACTTTAACAATATATAAAATTTGCTTTCATCCAATGAAAGAAAAGAAGTGAAAATTTTCAAACACAAACGCTGATATCATCACAATCACAAAAAAATTTACATGGGACAGTCTTATAATGTCATTGGGTTGACATGGTGAAACATCTGATAGCAAAATGACATATATTGTTAATTTTCATAACCATTCATTATGGTGGTGGTTATTATGAAAGATAAAAGGATAATTATTGATCAACCATGATGATAGGTGGACAAAAGAAATTTTTTTGGCATATATGCGACAATACATGTCACTATGTCATTTAACGGTCTCACTTAGGAGTGAAATCGAGTCGAGTCGAGTCGACTATCTGGTAAATCTAACTCGACTCGATCACTACAATATCAAGTTCGAGTTCGAGTTCGAGCTTGAGAAATCAAGTCCGAACTTGAACTCGGTACTTGAAATTGGAAATCGAGTTTGAATTCGAATTCGTATAATTTAGTTTTAGTCGAGTTTTAGTTCCAACTCAATTTTGAGCTCATATAAAAGGGGTGGATTTGCAAATTTTATAACTTTTAAATTATATATGACTCGTGTTACTTTAAAAACTATCAACTTAACTATCGAGTTAGAATATACTTGCAAACATATCGACTCAATTTCTACTATGATCAAACTCGACTCGATTAACTACTCGAACTCGAACTTGACTTGACTAATGCTGAGTCGAGTTCGAGCCAACATCGAGTCGAGTTTAAGTAGCTCGTGAGCAGCTCGACTCGATTTTCACCCCTTCGTGTTAACTAGATGATGTTGTATGTAACACCCATAGTGAGGTAATTTATTTATGCTATAATACCCTTAGTTTTGCTTGTTTTAAAGTGAAAGATTGAAAAATTGGAAATTGCAGACTTCGCCGCGACAAAGGAGTTTTGTCGCCGCAGCATTGTACACACTGCCTAAATCTAGTTCTTAGAATTGCAGTCTTCGCTGCAGTAAGGAAGAAAGTTCACCGCGGTGACGTATTCTCTGGAATGCTCGCTGAGGTGAAGAAAAATTTTCATTGGGGCAAAGATCTGTTGGAATTTTTGAGGAAATTCTAGAAAACTTGCTTAAGGGCAAAATGGTCATTCCACTCAGAATTAGTTGAAAGTGTGGGGAGTGAAAAGTAGTAGAATTTCATGGAGAATGCAATGGAAATGAGGACATAATTGTAATTGACTAAAGGGTAAAGATGAAATTTCATAGAAAGTACAAGGGCAAAATGGAAAAGTACAAGTAATAAATGAGATATTAAGGGTTCAAGAATGAAAACCCTACCATTCTCTACCCCTCACCAATGTTTTGAAAACTAGACCGGGACTCGACCCAGCCAAAGGTCCGATCTTCGGTTTTCACGGTTGGACTGGTCCGACTGACTGACGTTAGCATGATGATGTCAGCAAAAAAAGAAAAAAAATTCCAGATTTTTTTTTTTTGTAACTAAAATTCATCAAACAAACCCTGCAGTAGAATCTCTATTTCTAAGATCTTAATTTCAATGAATATGTGCACATCAAACAAAATTAACATTACAGCAAAACTTAATTCAAAGATTCACCCGATTCACATGTTCAGTTGCTGACAATCACTTTATACAGAACACCCACCAAAAAAACAAACTACATTAAGTGTTAAAAGTAATATATGCCATGTCAATGCACCATTTAAATTAGGATACTTCCGGAAACAATTGGAAAACTATGGAAAACTGCATCTTGCTACTAACTGAAGCAATTGTAAGATTATTTCATCGCCAGATTAATCTACTGGCATGATGAATAATTAATGGACTGGTGAATATTTTTATTTTGCATTTCACAATAAGAAATCAATTTTAAGAGTTTCAGAAATTAATTGACAGATTCACATCACTCTTACAACAGTTTGTTTCTTGGTCGACAGTAGATAGCAGCTTGCAAACGGCGGTAGATGGCGGTAGATGTGAAGGCTAAAGTTTAGACTGAAGTTGAAGTCAAGCATCCATGAATCTGCAGACTAGCCATGACAAGGAAGAAGCAGACGATGGCGACGACGATGATTGATCAACGGAAGAGAAGACTCTAAACTGAAGCTGAAGTCATGACTGAGGAGTGACGACTGACGAAGAGGTTGAAGAGAAGACGACTTGAAGCTGAAGCTGAAGCCTGAAGGAGATCGTGAATGGAGGAGGACTGGACTAGAGCCACCAACCACAGCAACTCGACAAGGAAGAAGCAGAGTAGCAGACTTTTAGAAGAGGTTGAAGAGAAGACGACTTGAAGCTGAAGTTGAAGCTGAAGCTTGAAGGAGATCGCTATTCACGAACGGAGGAGAAGGACTGGACTGGAGCCAAACACAGTCTCTGCAAGTCTGAATCGCAAAATGCAAATGAAAATGGGTTAAAAAAGGGTTTTATTAGTGGATCGGATTGGGCATTGGACCGGATTGGGGTGTTGCACCGGTTGGACCGTCGATTTGCTACAGTAAAACGGTCCAATAGCGGTTCAAAACAGTCCAACGTCAAATCCTAGTTTTTTACTCTTTTTGAACCGTTAATCTTGTCGAAACCCGGTCAGACTGGTTGGACTGCCCGGTCTGGTCCGGGTTTTAGAACATTGCCCCTCACACACCACTTTCATCCCCAAATCCTCTCAATTTCTTCATCAAATTTTCAAGGCAATTTAGAGGATTTTTGGTTGGATTTTGGTAGATATTCAATCCTAAGCATCCAAAGGTAAGAACTCTTGCAATAAGATGTGAGAATAATTTTTAAAGTGCTGAATTCTTATAGTTTATATGCTTAGGGTTTAAGAGGAAAAGGAAGTTTACCAAAGAGAGAGATTCTAGTGTGGAACTACTCAAGTTTAAGGTAAGTAAATCCAATCCTAGTCATGATTTGAGCAAGAATTGTGTAGAGAAAGTTTTATATGTATTTATATGCTTGATTGTTGAGAATTGCTGATGGAATTGATGATGATTCATGGTTAGAATTCCACCATGAGGAGTGATGATTGTGTTTATAGAAATTGATGGAAGTTTGGATGAGCTAAGAAAGAATCTGAGTAGAGTTATGGAGTGTATTTTTCCTGGCTAGGTTTGAAGTTGTTTCTAGGGAGTTTTGCTCCAAAATTTTGGTGGTTAGAGATTGTTATGGAAGTGTAATCACCTTAGTGCTTTATTTGTGCATACCAAGTGTTTGATGAAATTTCATAAAGAAGTGCATGTATGAGTATGTTGATTTATCTTTTTGATATGAGTTTGTAGATGGTAGAGAAAGTAGAGGATGACATGTTTACATGCTATATTTCATCTTTGCATTTAATCATTTGAATTAAGAAAGAACAATACAAAAAGCCATCTACATGCATACAAGAATATGAAACAGCAAAGAAAGAAAAGAGAATTATTAAAGAAAAGAAATTGAATACTAATTTCTAAAGGAAAAATAAAAGAAAATAAGGTTGTTGCGATGGGGAGCCTGTGAGTGACAAGAAGAAGAATATTCCCACATGTAGGCCGCCTTTAGTGCATAAGTGGCCTAAGAATAAGAAGAAGAACTTGTACAGTCCGTAAGAGTACACGTGGATGAGGACTGTACCCAAAAGAATATACCTACATGCACGCCGCCTTTAGTGAGCGGCCTAAGAAGAAGAAGAATTTGCACAGTCCGTAAGAAGTGCATGTAGATGAGGACTGTATTCACTCACATGACCAGAGTTCCGAATCTATGCCTCAACCGAGACCGATTGGCAGAGAATAAGAAAAGAAAAGAAAAGAAAAGAAAGAAGAGAAAGAAAAGAAAGAATAGAAAGAAAAGGAAGAACAAAAAGAAAAGAAAGAATAGAATGACAGAAGAAAAACAAAGAAAGAAAGAAACACAGAAAAGAAAGAAAAACAGAATAAGAAATAGAAAAAAAAAATGCACATCCTATGCATTTGTTCACTTGCATCATACCTATGCATGATACCATGCTTACTATCAGGAGTAGTAAGAAATAAGAAATAAGAAATAGAGAAAGAACAGAGAGAAGTAAGAACAGATACAGAACAGAGAAGAATAGAGAAGTGTAATGTAAGGAAATAAATTCAGAATATGAGCAATGGAGATAGAAGGGTATCATAGTGGATTTACTTACTGAGCAATTAGTGCTCACTCCGTTGTTTTCTCTGTTTTTGCAGGAAATAGGTGAGAAGCGGTCGGATGGAACGTCGAGAGTGGAGGAGAATGGCACTACTATCCACTGTATTTTGAGATTATGTATATGATAATTTTGTTGTTGTAAAGAATTTAGTATATAAAAATAAAGAAATTTTTGGGCTCACTATTTTGTACTTAAATACATATATAATTTCTATGATATATTTAATGACTTTATGATATATTTTACAAAGTTTACTAGCTAGAAAGAGTTATTACATGGTAAGCTTGTCTTATGTACATTATCAACATTTATAACAACAAAAACTAGGATGGAGTAGCTGCCACTGGGATTCTAAGTATTGTTTGTTTACTTATATCCATTTGTACACATAGCTTCAACTAATTTTCGGAGGCCTTAAAGTTAAGGACCGGGTATAACCTCTCGTGGTCTTTCCTATTAGGGACCGATATGACCCAAACTCAGTTTGAGTAATACATCGAAGAGTCTATGTCCAATCACTCGGTTACTTAGGGGCGATTAATTTCACTCTATTATTAAAACCAAAAGATGATTCTTATGATAGAATAATTAATTAAAACCTTAATATTAGTTATTGTAGCAAGGAAATGCATTTAATAAACATTCTCACGCGAGAATGCACTTATTCAATAACTAAACCGGTAAACCCTGCGAGCTAGAAGTAGAACATGAGAAATACCAATTGCCCAATGGCAATAGCCACAGCCGTAGCCACCATTATTTTAAACATACAACATTAATTATTTAATAATCTTGATTGTAATAGGGCGATTAAGGGTAAGCCTCAATAACAGAATGCACTGCACGAATGTGTTTAGCATTATGTCTGCTAAATCCTGCCTGCCCAAGAACATAATCCCATTCCTTCAAAGTCCTCTCTTTCCCTTTGTCAGTGTGAGCCATCATTGCCATGTCTATCTTCAACCTCACTGACTTCAATTCATCTCCTAAATTTTCTTCTTCTTCCATTATTGTTTCAACGATTATCACTTTCCCATTGTCCTTTGGAATTGCTTCTCTGCATTTTTTCAGGATTTCGATGCACTCATCATCCCCCCAATCGTGCAAAACCTGCTGCAGTATTCAAAAGTGAAACCAAATTTAAATATTAACAAATAATTAGATAAGGTTTACACAATTTTAATACCAATTTATAGTGCCGAATATTGTAGAGAGCATATATTTTTTTCAAGTAATGCTATACATACCAACTTATATGGTAATTGATTTAACATATTAATTCAATTCCCCTGTCGTCTTAGAATAAAAGACAAGATACTATCAAATCAACTATCACATGAATTAATATACAAAATTCAAACATGTAACATTATTGATTTTCTTTTTCTTTTATATTATCATACTAGAAAGTAAGAAAGCTATCATATTTAAAAGTGAGAAGTCTAATTACAGTTAAATTTATGTTAAAAAATTGTTATGTTTTTATATTATCTCAAAGCCTTTTTTCAAGATGTCTAGGTTAATTTACTCGCATCTCGATTAATCCTCAAGTGAGGCTAACGCAACAACCCACCGCCATGATCCCCCACTTATATTATGAATGCTCAGATGAAAAATTCAATCTGAGATTGTACACCTATCCACATTATCTCCAATTCGTCCTAACCATTGAGCTACTTATGGAAGGGTTATTATCTCAAAACCAATCCTTAAATTTTAACCCTTTTTTTTTTTTTTTTTTTTTTTTTTTAGTAAAATTAATTATCACATAAATTTTACTTAACATAAGTAAGAAGAATAGAAGATTAATTTTACTTTGAAGTATGTATAGAAATAAGAAAAGGAAAAAGACTTTTAACATATAAATTCAATCAAATATTCTATCCATTCCTCATTTTTTAAAAGACGTTGTTTTAGATTCTTAAAGAGAAGAAATTATGTCTTTTTAATAGATTCTTCACCTCAGAAATATTAACCTAAAATTTAAGAACAAAATCCCAGCATGTTTGCACCTGAAAATTTTTATAATTTGTTTTGTATTTATCTTGTTTTTAAAGATAAATAACTTTTAATCACGTAATTAAATTTAATGATAAATAAATACCAACCATAATGAAAATAGCATCAGCCATTGGAATACTCTGAAACATGTCACCTCCCACATTCTTAACTCCATGGGACTGCTCAGCATCACACACAACATGAGGAAGATCAAAATTGATCCCTCTAATCCATGGAAAAGCTTTCACCAACAACCCTAAAGCCGTTCCGTTCCCGCCACCAACATCCACCAAGCTACCAACTCCATCAAACACCTCAGGACAACCTTTAATAATCGCCGGCACTGTCACCACTCTAGCTCCACAAGCCATTGCATCATTGATTAGCTTACTAAAGGATTCATCCCCAACTGCGTAGCTCCATATATCCTTCCCATGAGCCGCCTCAAAAGCCGGCGTTCCACTGACTTGGACGCCGGCGCTCAAGTTTATCCATGATGCCACCATCTCCGGGCCGTTCTCCAGTAGAACAAAAGCGGCCATGCTGTTTTGTCCATGTTTTCTGAAGCGGCGTGAGATTGGGGTTTGTTCGAAGGCTATGGATCCGTGGCTGGTGGGTTTCTCTTTGAAGATCTGGTAGTGAACTAAAAATCTCATTACTCGGTGAAGAGAGGAGGGCGCGCAATTGAGAGCTGATGATAATTCTGAAAGTGTCATGGGGCCTCCATGGTTCTCTATGGCGTCAGCTATGCCGAGCTCAATGGCACACTTTACGACTGCCACTTTCACAAATCCGAATACATAATTCCAAATTTCAACGTCTGCTTGAGCTTCTTCTTCTTGCTCTTGCTCTTGCTCTTCCTTTGTCGTTGCCTTTCTTTCTGTGATTACCTCCATCTCTCTTTATCTCTCTTTCTGTGTGTTCCTGAACAAGATTGATTGTTTCCCATCTATATATAGCAATTAGTTGCATGGGATTCAGATTTTAGTTTCGGCACTAAAATTATTTGTTAACCAAAATGGTCCATACCCTCTGATGATTGGAGAGATTTTCTTCATTATAAAATTACATTGTTGAAAAATAGCAACTTCTTGCTTGACATTTTTAAATTGTAGAGCCATTATCTACGCTATAAAAAGCATTAATTAAACGCTAATCATGTATTTAAGGAGTTGTTAACTTATGGTGTGTTTAATGAGAAGATGTTGTTAATTACTTTTGTAATGCATTATGGTTGTGAGATTGCTTTCTACATTATTAGAAGAAATTTCAGTTCATTTAACAGAATAATATCAATATAACTGTATGGGCAAAAAATCGTACTAAACTTTCTCAGGCCTAATAATGAAATAAACATTCTGTTGCCCAGTGTCTTAACCCAATTCCGATTGGACCCATACTTAAAGCCACCTTGTGGAAAAGATCATCTAATGAGATGACCCATCTTATAAGAAGACCTATTTTATGAGCCGGCCCACTCTATGAGCTGGACCACACCATGAGTCAGCCCTCTCCATGAGTTGGGCTATTTTACGATTTTGATCACTCTACAATCAAAGCCACCCTACAAACTGAGCCAACTTATGCTTTGAGCCATTGCACGAGTTGGGTCTTTCTACAAGTTAAACTAAATTGGGCTTCAGCCCATTAGCCTATATTCGTTCCAAAATAGGACTCAGAGTCTTACTTACTTCTTAGTTCATCCAAGATTCCTAATCTTACATGAACTAATACTTCTACTTCTACATGGATAAACATCACGAGTTTCTTGTTTACTCAAACTCCTACTGTGAGAACACCTAGTTCTACAAGGATCAAGCTTTATTGACTTACTATATAAACAGAGGTCAACCCTTTCATTATTGATTCACATACAACCCATAACTTTTGCTCTAAAAAGTTTTTGCTCTTGTAAAAACGTATTAAGGATGAATATTCACATTTTTTTGTTTTTCATTCATAGAATAAAATGATACGTGTTTATATACAGTTGTAGTGTTCTAATCTAGGTATGAGATCAATTTCTATTAGGATACAAGATCAATGTGATCCCTATAATCTAGGAAGTTATATACATCTATAACACTCCCCCTCAAGTTAGAGTATAGATATCAATCATACCTAGCTTGTTACAAAGATAATCAACTCAAATCCCAGTTAGAGCCTTTGTGAAGATATCTCCCAATTGTTCTCCAGTCTTCACGTACCTAGTGGAAATCAGACCTTGTTGTAGTTTCTCACGGACGAAATGGCAATCGATCTCAATGTGTTTCATTCGTTCATGGAACATTGGATTAGATGCAATATGAAGAGCCGTTTTGTTATCACACCATAATTTCGCTAGTATTGAAGTTTCAAGGCCTATTTCAGTCAAGAACTGACATATCCACATTATTTCACAAGCAGCTTGTGCCATAGCCCTATATTCTGACTTTGCACTTAATCGTGACACGACATTCTGCTTCTTGCTCTTTCATGATATTAAATTTCTTCTGACAAAGACACAATAGCCCGATGTGGATCTTCTATCTACCTTGGAACCTACCCAATCTGCATCTGAGAAACATTTAATATGAGAGTGATTATGATTGGCATATAATATACCACGTCCAGGGGCTCTTTTCAAATAACACAAGATCTGCTCCAAAGCCGCCCAATGATGAACTGTTGGGGAGGCCATAAACTGATTGACAACACTTACTGAATATGCAATATCTGGACAAGTCACCGTAAGATAGTTCAACTTCCCGACCAATCTTCTATATTTCTCAAGATCTCCAAATAGTTCACCATCTTTCGTAAGCTGCATATTAGGAACCATCGGAGCACTACAAGGCTTTGCCCCCAATTTCCTTGTCTCAGTTAACAAGTCGAGCACATATTTCCTCTGAGAGAGGAATATACCTCGTTTTGCTCCTTGTAACTTCAACCCCCAAGAAATACTTCAATATCCCTAAATCTTTTGTGTGGAATTGGATATGGAGATAAGACTTAAAAGATGTGATGCCCACGCTATCACTCCCAGTAATAACAATATCATCCACATACACAACTAGAAGAATGATGCCAGTTTCAGACCGTTTGTAGAAAATAAAATGGTCAGTTTTACATTTCAGCATACCAAATCTCTCAACAGTCTGACTAAACTTTCCAAACCAAGCACGAGGACTCTGTTTTAAACCATACAGAGATTTGCGAAGATGACATACTTTCCCATACTCCCTCTGAGCAACAAACCCAAGATGTTGCTCCATATAAACCTCTTCCTAAAGATTGCCATGAAGAAAAGCATTCTTGATGTCTAGCTGATGCAAAGGCCAATCATAAGTAGCTGCCATAGAGATAAACAGCCGAATAGAGGTGAACTTAGCCACAGGGGAAAAAGTATCAGAATAATCAACTCCGTAGGTTTGAGCATATCCTTTAGCAACCAGACGAGCTTTTAGCCAAGCAACTGACCCATCTGGATTAACTTTAATTGTAAACACCCATTTGCATCCAATTGCCTGTTTCCCTAAAGGTAAATCTACCAATTTCCAAGTACCATTGTCATCTAAGGCATTTATTTCCTCTATCATGGCATTACGCCAACCAAGATGAGAAAAGGGTTTCATGAACAGTTTTAGGGATAGTAATAGAATCAAGGGAAGCAATAAAGGAGCATGATGAATGTGACAAATGATCAGAAGAAACACAAGAAGAAACAGGATAAGTACATTGTCGTTTATCTTTTCGTAATGCAATAGGAAGATCGTCACTTGAAACTGGATTGGATGACGAAGAAGTTGGTGTCGGACATGAAGCAGAAGGAGGTGGATGACGAGAGTAGACTTTGATAGGAGCAAGATCAAAAATAGGAGCCGATGCAGGGAGCACAAGAATAGTGACAAGGTCAGAGACAGGAGCCAATTCAGATATCGGTGTAGGGGAAGTGAAGGTATAAACTAACAAATCATCATTATCATCATCCTTCTGACGATCTGCAGGAGAAGAGGGAAAGTGTGGTGTTTCTTCTAGAAAAGCAACATCAATGGAAACAAGATACTTATTAAGACTTGGACAATAACACCGATATCCTTTCTAAAGTCGAGAATAACCAAGAAAGACACATTTTAATGACTTGGGATCTAATTTAGTGACTAACTGTCGAACGTCCCAAACAAAGCAAGTGCTACCAAATACCTTAGGTTCAAGAGGAAATAATGCCTTGTTAGGAAAAAGAATACTGTACGGGGTCTCACCATGAAGGATAGAAGATGACATGCGGTGGAAACTACATCAGCCCAGAATGGTTTAGGAACATTCATTTGGAATAATAAGGCTCTGGCAGTTTCAAGAAGATGTTTGTTTTTCCATTCTACTATTTCGTTTTGAGATGGAGTATCAACATTTGAAGTTTGATGAAGAATGCCATTCTGAGTCATGTAATTTTAAAAAGAAACTGATAGATATTCTTTTGCATCATCACTGCGCAATGTATGAACAGAAATATTGAATTGAGTTTTAATCTCAGCACAAAAAGCACAGAAACAAGAAAACAAATCAGAACGATTTTTCATTAAGAATAACCAAGCCATACGAGAGTAATCGTCCATAAATATAACAAAATATCTAAAACCAGTTTTAGACAAAACTGGACAGGGACCCCAAACATCAGAGTGAACTAATTCAAAGGGAGAATTAGCTATTTTATTGACTCTAGGACTAGAATTGACACGATGATATTTAGCAAACTAACATGACTCACACTCTAATGTCGACACTTTATTAAATTGAGGACACAATCTCTTCAGTGAAGGAAGAGATGGATGGCCCAAATGATAATATGCTTGAAACGAGGATGCAACGCTAGAATAAGTGACAGGTGTAGATTTTGGTCTGTCAAGAATATATAAACCTCCAGATTCATGTCCTTTACCAATAATCTTCTTCGTTGTAAGATCCTGAAACAAGCAATAATTGGGAAAGAATAAAACACAACAGTTAAGAGCACAAGTAAGTTGGCTAACAGAGATCAAATTGAAAGAAAATCTGGTAAATGTAAGACATTTGATAAGGGAAGCTGTGGGGTAGGGGTAACTGTGCCAGACCCAAGGACGTAGGATGGTGACCCATCTGCTAAAGTTACATTCGAAATGGTTTTTGATTGATAAGTAGCAAAGAGACTGGGATTACCTGACATGTGATCTGTTGCGCCAGAGTCAATGATGAATTTGGAGGATGAGGAAAGGAGACATGTATTTGGCTTACTTGAGTCAGCCAAAGCCGTGACAGGAGTAGATGAAGCTTTTAATGATTCCTGGTACAATGAAAACTTGGCATATTCATCTGCAGAGATGAGAACTAACTGATCAGACGTATCATTGGTGGATGCAACATGGGCAAAGAGATTTCTTTTATTTCTGTTCTAAAGCTTTCTACAATCACGCTTCATGTGTCCTGGCTTATGGCAATAGTGACACACAATTCCTCCCATATTACTATTTGACCCTCCTCTTTTTTTGCCACTTCCAAATTGTGATCGGCCAGATTCATATTCGTTCTTTTGACTAACAAGAGCACCACTAAACTGAACCGGTGGGGTACCTTCTGTGCGAAGTACCCTACTAAAGACATCCTGCAACGAAGAGATCTCTGTACTGGCTAGAAACTGAGACTTAGCAGTCTCAAATTCAGAAGGAAGACCTACAAGAAAACTCATGACTACCATTTGCTCCCGTTGTTTTTGTTGAACTTTGACATCAGCACTGAAGGGTAACAACATGTTCAACACTTCATAAGTTTTCTTAAACTCCATAAAATAAGCTGTAAGAGACTTATCTTGTTTCTCTGCACGGTAGAATGCCTTACACACTTCATAAATATGAGAAACATTCCCTTTTCCAGAATATAGAAACTCCAAATAATCCAACAGTTCTTTAATAAACTCACAATGATTAATCAGGCCAAGTATCTCAACGTCAATAGAGTTCCGTATTTGTAGAATCAATCGAGCATCATCCCGGAGCCATGTCTTTT